CTCTCAAATACTCCCTGCTGCTTTATCAACTGAATTTCTGTAATATTCTGAAGTTTTTGTTGTCATTCCAGCAGTGTTCACAGCATCTTCACTAGGATTAAATTCCATCTCAAACCGCTGTCTTTGCTCATCCCTGAGAAGCAGAGAAGCAGCTCCTCATCCATTCGCGTGTTGTCCTGAGACTGCAGCGATTCAGTCACATCTCTAGGCTCCACCCCTAATTGTAGTTCTCTTGCTATTTCCACCACATCAGCAATTACATCTTCCACTGCAGTCTTGAACTCTTTAAAGTCATCCATGAGAGTTGTAATTAACTTCTCCCAGACTCCTGATGTTGATATTTTGACCTCCTCCCATGAATCACACATGTAATTATCAGCATCTAGAATGGTGAATCCTATCTAGCGGGTTTTTAACTTATTTTGTCCAGATGCACCAGAAGAATCACTGTGTATGGCAGCTATAGCTTTAAAAATGTATTTATAGCTTATAAAATGTATTTTTTAAATATGAGGGTTTGAAAGTCAAAATTATTCCTTGATCTATGGGCTGCAGAGTGGATTTTGTGTTAGCAGGTATGAAAATAACACTAATATCCTTGTACATCTCCATCAAAGGTCTTGGGTGCCAGATGAATTGTCAATGAGCAGTGATATTTTATTTATTTATTTATTTATTTTGGAGACAGAGTCTCACTATGTCACCCTTAGTAAAGTACCGTGTTGTCACAGCTCACAGCACCATCAAACTCTTGGGCTTAAGCGATTCTCTTGCCTCAACCTCCCAAATAGCTTGGACTACAGGTGCCCACCACAATGCCCAGCTATTTTTTTGTTTCAATTGTCATCGTTGATTTTAGCTGGCTGGGGCTGGGTTTGAACCCTCCAGCCTTAGTGTATGTGGCCGGTACCCTACCCACTGAGCTATGAGTGCCACCAGAGCAATGATATTTTAAAATGAGTCTTTTTTCCAGAGCAGCAGGTCTCAATAGTGGGTTTAAAATATTCGGTAAACCAAATAGATATGCTGTCATCTAGGCTTTGATGTTCTATTTATAGAACACAGGCAGAGTGGATTTAGCATGATTCTCAAGGGCCTTAGGATTTTCAGGATGGTACATGAGCTCAGTTTCAACTTTACCAGCTGTTTTAGCTCCTAACAAGAGAGTCAACCAATCCTCTGATGCTGTTAAGCCAGATATTGACTTCACTCAAGCTATGTAAGTCCTAGGTAGCATTATATTTCAATATAAAGCTGTTTCCTGTACATTGAAAATGTATTGTTTAGTGTAGCTACCTTCATCAATGTCTTAGCCAAACTTTCCAGATACATCTTCTGAGCTTGCTACTTCACCCTGTACTTTGATGTTATGGAGATGGCTTCTTTCCTTCAACCTCATGAACCAACTTCTACCAGCTTCTAATTTTTCTTCTGCAGCTTTCTCATATCTCTCAGCCTCTGTAGAATTAAAACAAGTTAGGGCCTTGCTCTGCTTGGGCTTTGACTTAAGGAAATATTGTGGTTATTTTGACCTTCTATCTAAAAACTTTCTCCCTACCAGCAAAAAGGGTGTTTCACTTTCTTTTATTTGTGTATTCACTGAGTAGCACTTATAACTTCCTTCAAGAGCTTTTCCTTTACATTCTAATTGTTTGGTGCAAGAGGCTTTGGTTACAGCCTACCTTGATTTTCAATGTGCTTTCCTTACCAAGCTTGATTGTTTCCACCTTTTGATTCTAAAGTAAGGGATGTGCAAGCCTTCCTTTCCCTTTCTTTTACTCAGAGGCCATGACAAGGTTATTAATTGGCCCAATGTCAATATTATCGTGTCTTAGGGAATAGAGAGGCCTGAGGAGAGGGAGACGTGGAGAATGACGTTTGGTCAAGCAGTCAAAAGACACACATTTATAGATTAAGTTCACTATTTTATGTGACTGTGATTCGTCACACTCCAAAACAATTATAACAATAGCATCAAAAATCACTGACCACAGGTGGTGTCTGTAACTCAGGGGTTAGGGCGTTGGCCACATACACTGAGGCTGGTGAATTCAAATCTGGCCTGGGCCAGCTAAAACAACAATGAAAACCGCAACAAAAAAAGTAGCCAGGCATTGTGGCGGGTGCCTATAGTCTGAGCTACTTGGGAGGCTGAGGCAAGAGAATTGCGTAAGCCAATGCTTTGAGGTTGCTGTGAGCTGTGATGCCACAGCACCCTACCCAGGGCATCAAAGTGAGACTCTGTCTCAAAAAAAAAAAAAAAAAAATCCCTGACCACAGATCATCATACAGATATGCTAATAATGAAAAAGTTTGAACTATTTTGAGAATTATCAAAATGTGACACAGAGACAAAAAGTGAGCATATGCTATTAGAAAAGTGGTACCCATAGATTTAATTGACACAGGGTTGTCACAAACGTTCTATTAGTATCTGCATGAGGTGCGTATGATGGAAGAGCTCCTATACTTACCTGAATGGAATCTTTTGGCTCAACTGTAACCCAATTTTCTAGGTGGGTAATGTAAAGGCCTAAAAATTATTGGTTTGTTATTTACAAATTTTTTACTTCTATTTTATTATAGTTACATAAAAGGAGAGCATTTTTCCCCTTAGGGAAATTTCCTGATGGGAATGAAGTCATTAGGTGGCCTGTCTAAGCTGTCTACCATTTTATAAGAAGATCTACATACTCTCTCTCATTCTGTTTATGAATTTAAGTCACCATCTACTTGGAGGAACATAGAATGCTCAGATGGGCCCATAAAAAGGTCTAGTTACTTGTCTTTTCTGGACAGCTTATGACTTTTGATTGTGCTACATTATTGCATATTGTCACAGTCAGCTAGCTCTGTGAAATATTGCAAGCAAGTACATTGATGGGCAGCTATTCTAGGCAAGGTGAAAATCAAAGTTATATCTGTGCCATAATTCTGGCCTTAAGCTGCTGCCTTCTCCTTCATTTATTTTTGATAACATACCTAATTGGTTCCATGTGGGCAAAGCAATTTACCCTGAGATGATTATTTCCGCCAGTGGGATATGCAGGCTCAGCCATCTGCGAGGGAGAACAGTTGGCTCCTGCAGATGAAGTGTTTGAGTGTTTGCAGCTTCCAAATAGGCCAGGTAATTTTATAAATTAAGAAAAAAATGCATAAGTTTTGTTTATTAAAGGCAAAACTCTTAAGTAGCAAAGCAAGCAAATGATCAGCGCCAAGAAGTAATTAGAAGCACATCAGTGGAAAGGACAGGGGACAACGGGGCCGGCAATCCTTGTTGGTCGTTGTCCTTAGGCTGAGGGAAGGCAGTGGGTGCACTGGACACTCCCCAGAGTGTGGATCTCATGTGACACCTCTTACCTGAGCTTAAGGAAAGAGAATACGTACCTGGAGAACATCCCCTGCTAGGCAGGAAGAGGCAGCTCAGAACTGGGGAGGTGGGGGAGTAGATAAGAGGGCTTCCTGGAATGGTTCAGCCCTCAGGCTGCAGCTGCTAACTTAGGTGTGTCCATATTCCCATGTCTCCTTGGTGTCCTGCCCCATGGATGTTGATGATAGCCCTGAAGCCCCTTGGGAGGGTCACCTCTGCACAGGCAGCAGAGGTTTTACCACTGAAGACTCTTCTCCTAGCTGATCCTTCCTATCACCAGGGATTCTTAACCATGTCAGGTCTGACCAGATAAAAATACTACCTTGAACTCAAGAAATTGCCACTTTCATAGATCCAAATGGTCAAATATCAGGATGTTTTTGATGATTTAAAATAATGTTTATACTTACATGCTGAGGTATTTGTATAAGTTGATTTATAAATTACTAGAAGTCCAGAGAATGGAATGCCTTTTTGTAATTGAAATTTTTATTGGAATCCTTGTCGTAGGAGTCATAGGCAGTTGTAAGAAATAATACCCTTTACCCAGTTTTCCCCACTGGTGACAGTTTGAAAAATTACAGAATAATATCACCACCAGAATACTGCCATTGACACAATATTATTGAGATTTCCCCAGTTTTACAAGTATTCATTGGTGTGTCTGTGAGTTAGTTCTGCACAGTTTTATCACATGGGTAGGTTTGTGTGGTCAGTTCATTGAAGAGTTTTAGTAGCACAGGGATCCCTCTGGTTGGCCTCACACTTCCCTCCCTCGCTGCCCCTCTCCACATACTCCTGCCATTCCTAAGCCCTGGAAGCCTGTAATCTCCATTTCTAAAAAAAAAAATTTTATTTCAAATATTCTATAAATGGAACCACACAGTATGTATCATTTCGGGATTGGTTTTTTCCCCCTCCACTCAGAATAATTTCCTGGAAATTCATCCTAATTGTTGAACATGGTAATAGTCCATTCTTTTCTATTGTTCACTAGTGATTCACTAGATGTACCACAGCTTAACCACTCACCCACCGATAAGCATCTGGGCTGTTTCTAGATGGGGCTGTTACAAATAAAATCGCTGTGGATGTCTATGTGCAGATTTTTTTGCATAAATATAAGTGTTCATTTTTTTAGGGATAAATGCCCAAGAGTAAAATTGCTGGGATATATGATACTTGGACATTTAGTTTAAGAAATTGCCACGGCCAAGCACTGCAGCTCATCCCTGTAATCCCAGCACTTTGGGAGGTCAAGACTGGGGGATTGCTTTAGACCAGGAGTTCCAGCCCAGCCTGAGCAACCCAGTGAGACAGGAGAAGCTGTAGTGCCAGTGTTTCAGGAGGCTGAGGCAGGTGCATCAGTTGAGCCCAGAAGTTGGAGGTTGCAGTGAATTCTGATGATGGCTTCGCACTCTAGTGATGGCTTCGCACTCTAGCCTGGGCAACCGACTGAGACCAGTTCTAAAAAATAAACAAATAAGCAAACAAACAAACAAGTAAAATATGTAAATAAAAAACTTCTAAGCTATCTTGAGAATCCATTTTTAAAAAATGAAAATGCCTAACTTCACAAGATTCTGTGCGTAGTCTGAAGACTAATCTTTTCTCTTAATCCTTTTTGCAGCCACGCCATATCCTGGTGGATTCAAATGTTTCACCTGTGAAAAGGCAGCAGACAATTATGAGTGCAACCGATGGGCTCCAGACATCTACTGTCCTCGAGGTAAACTTTCAGTAAACAGACTGGGGTCCCCAGAGTGAACAGCCTGTTGACTTGGGTGCAAGTGGAGGGAGAGACCCCTTTGCTGTCACAGCTGCTCCTCTTTTCTGAGGCCATTAGTTGATCTTTTATAACCTGCCAACAATTTATCAAAGATTCTTAGAGACATAAACTGATCCATAAAATTGCCCCCTTTGTCATCCATCGCTGGAGCTCCACAGGAGGTAAGTGACACTTTCCCCCACACCCTCAGGCCCAGTCAAATGCAAAAGGAGAGAACAGCCAGGCTGTTTGCTACTCTTTGAAGCATTTGTCAGTGCATAGTAACTTCTTTCATGTGAAGTATGAATTGGTGTTCATATAAAGATTCCATTTATTACTTATCTTGCCAGAGACTGTCATGCAGCCTCTAGAATTTAGAATTCCAAATGTCATCATTGCACAAGTAAAAACCCTGAGCTTTTTAAACTATTAAGTTCTCTTTGAAGGATGAGATGGATGCCCAACTGAAGCATGAAATTTTGACCCAAAGCCCCATTTCCAAATAAGGAAAATCAGTCATATTCATATATTTTTTATTCTATTACAGAAAAAGATAGTCATATTAGGCTATGAGTCACTCACTGTTAATTGGATGTTTTATTTTGGAGAAAAGATCATTCATTGGGGGAGGATGATGAGAATGAGGCATTTTACTGACAAACGTTTGAGTGAACAGTTAGATGGGTATCACTGATGCTCTAATTCAGTTGTTAAAATGACTTAACACATCAATACCAAAGCCATTATCTTTCCACATGATGCAAGAAATCTCACACTCAACCCAGGGAATGGCACTCTCTTTCTCACGGAGGACTGGAAATTAGGAGAGCGTGGAAACCAAAATTAAAAGATAGATGTCAATTTCCCAAGCCAGTACTATTTAATCCAGGAGTCTCCACCCAGGCCGCATGGTAGAAACGCCTGTGGAACTTTTCAAAAATCACTAAAACCTATACCTTGCAGGACCAGTGATTCTCAAACTTCAGCATCATCCCTGTTCCCTAAAGGGTTTATTGAAGCATAGATCTCTGCTACTAATCCCACCCCCAACTCCACCCAAGTTTTTGATTCAGTAGGTCTGACAAGGGGCCTTAAAATTTGCATTTCTAAGGAGTTGAAGGGGTGATGAGTTAAGAACCACAGCTCTGCACAAGTTGAACCAGTGTCTCTGAGAGGGTCCTGCATTGACATTTTTAAATATCTCAGTTGATTGTAATGAACAGACAAAGGCAAGAATCACTCGGAGCTTCTCTGCCCACTAGGAGAAAGGGAAATGTGGTGACCCCATGTCTAGATTGCTAATGGGGTAGAGACGCTAATGGGGTCCCAAGAGACCACAGGGAGGAAAAAAACATGGGGACACTAAAGATTGACTTAATCTCAAGCGAGGTATTCGCACCTGGGTGATCAAAGCCAAGTTTGTCTGTCTTGCCTTATGCAGGCACTGCTCACTTCCAGATGAGCCAGTGTTTTCTAGCACTGTCACCTAGAGTGGATGAAGGCAGCTAATGGAACCGGTCAGGTTAGCCCATGCTTCTCAAACATGACTACACCTGGAAATCACCTGATACATGTCTGAAAACACTGACGCCTGGGTCCCTTCCTGGAGATTCATGTCTAAATGGTGTGGTGAGACACAGGATAGTTTAGACCACCCCCACCTTCACCCCTCCATGGTTCCCATATGCAGCAAAATTTGGAAACCATTGTAAATAGCGACTCTGGATGAAATCAGGATGATTTGCTTGCTAATCCAGTAACCTAGTTCCTGCTGGGACAAAGCTGGTCAAGTAGCTTTTGATATTGTCACCAATTTCGGATGTGTGGTTTATTCTACTCATGCTACTATAACAAAATACCTCTGATGGGGTCGTTTATAAACAACAGAAATTTATTTGTCATAGTTCTGGAGGCTGGGAAGTCCAAGGCCAAGGTGCCCGCACGTTCCAGTGAGGACCAAGTCTCTCTGCTTCCAAGGTTGCTGTGTCCTTGGAGGGGAGGAGCACTGTCCTTCCCTGGCAGGAGGACCACAGAGGGTGGAAAGGAGAGAAGAGAAGGAAGCCAGTCCCTTTGAAGCCAATCTCTTTATAAAAGCCTCAAACTCATCCATGAGGGCTCCACCCTTATGACTTAATCATCTCTTAAAGGCCCTGCCTCTTAATACCATCACATTAGCAATTAAGTGTCAGCATGTGAATTGGGGGAGAGGGACATTCAGACCATAGCAAAGTGTCACTGTGATTCTCTTAATATTGACTGAGCCCAGCAGTACCCTAGCAGAGATAATACAGAGGAAAAGAAGAGAATGTGAACTGGTTTGGGGCCCTCGGTAGGCTTTGGGCCCCTGTCCCAGTCCTATGGTGTATAAATATGTCCTTGTCACACATAAAATATAAGTGACCAGAAGCACCCTGCTCTTATATGGCTCTCATGGAGAAGAGGAAGTTCCACATTGATGCCTTTCTTTCAAGATCAAAATCTACCCTTTCAAAGAATTGCAGAGTTGTTTCTACACAATTATCCTTTTCCTTACTTTTTTCCCCCACTTCTGTCTTTTTGTTCTTTAATTTATAGGGATAAGCGAAAGCCAAGCGCTGAAATTCATGACACCAAACCACCATGCCAGGCCCCTGGGGGGATTACGCAGTAACAGATAGGAATCTGGTTTCTTCTTTCCAGGGACAGGCAGTTTAGCTGGGCGATAAGATCTGAACGTATCAGATGTCAAAAATAGCAGGACAAAGGTAAAGTGCCAAGTGAAACAGGGCACTCAGTGCTGTGGGGGTTCAAGGGAAGAGGTTCTCTTTGGGGGTTGAGGGAGCCAGAGAAAACACTATGCCCTGGGGAAAGGACCGCGGCCCTATACTGGGATTGGAGGCAGAGCGTTAAGGGCCACATCTTCCAGCAGGACGCTCAAGGGAAGGTTTAGAGACAGATTCCCCAGTGTATTGGGGAACCAGACCGGGGAGGAGCAGCTAGTTTGTACCAGAGAGGGACGGAAGCAAAGTAGTGGAGCCGGGTTATTTTTGCGGGACCTTGAGCGTCAGGTAGAGTGGGAGGGAACTTAAAGACGTTACCTGAGAAGGGGCTGATGCCACACTCAGCTCGCACCAGCCCCATTTCCCATGCGTCTTCTGCTCTTTCCTGTGAGTTTTCTCCAGATTTTCATAACAGTAAACATATTGCCATTCTGTTATTAGATTAGATTATAAACTGTATCATAGATTGGTTTTCTCTATTTATTACTAGTCTGAAGCAGCTGCGCGGGACTCCTAACAGCCGGCTGTGGAAAGGCAGCGTGGCTTTCTGAGAGATATTCCTGGTTTTTTGTTTTTGTGACATATTTAACTAAGTTTTAATCATCACATGATGTGAAAATAATTGTCGAAAGTGAAAAATTTATTTTCTATATTTGATCTTATCTACATAATAAACCCACTCCCCAAATTGCTTTGGGGATTCCCTGAATTTTGAGAATTTTCAAAAGCTAAACTCAGTCCTGTGCAGGTGCATAGACAGTGTTTTCTTAGCAACAGATGCTAAGGGACAGAGCAAACTTGTGAGTCACCATTTGGTCAAATAAGCATCAGGAGAGCTCTGTCCTGCCTGGAATCACTCTGACCGCAGTGGCGGCATCAGCCAGCTGCACTCTAGTTAACTGAGGTGCCCTGTCCCTCTCATTTTCAGAACGTGTGTGATGGAAGTATGGATGGTCTCCTCCCTTGTGTCACTCCTGCCTGTGGTCCTTACTGAGTCTGGGTCCCCTCCAGAACTCACTCCCTTGTTCACCCACTTGTCCTCTGTTTAGTCTTTGGTTCCTGAACACTCGACTTCTTCTGTAACAGCTTTAATTTCATCAGCCACTCATAAATTTGTTCAATTACCTGTGAACTGGAACGGGCAAGGATTTTGAAAACACATGTATGAGGGACCAGTCGAAGGAACTGGTGAAGTAAAATAAGAATCAAATGTCTGGTGCTTGGATTCAGGCTGTTTTGCCCAGGACCTTTCCTTGCTGCAAGATGAAAAGCCTCTGGGGAGAGGGGCTGTATGAGTGGTTATTAAGAGTCTGTGGAATTAAATGTCAAGTCAAAAACATTACAGTTTTAAAAAGGTCTGTTCCAAGGAAGATACCTAAGCCAGGGACATTACATTCCTTCTTAATTATCAAGTGCAGATGCCTTCCTCTAAGGCAAAAATCTTCATTTGAAGTTATTGCTGATATAAAATCAGAACAAGAAAAATCTTGTGGTAGAGGACACATATCCATTTGGTTCCAGCTTCGGGCTGCTTACTGTTTTTCTGTGAAAGTAAAGAAAAAGCTGGACGTGTCCCTTGATGGCTCTTTCTAGATCATTCATCTGAGGGTTTTTGCTGCAAGCAGGAAATATAAATGTGATCCCAGCTCAGCTGAAGACCCAACCACAGTTCAAATTTTCAGGAAAGCATTTTTCATTGATGACTTTTTTGTTTTCCAGACTGAGACAGACTACCTTTTTTGTTTTATTTAACCTAAGAGTGGGTTTTTCTCCCTTCTAGGCAATTTTGCATTTAGGCTATAGCCCTTGAAGGTTTCTACCATGTTATAGGGGGTTTCTATTCTAGATCTCAATCTCATCAAGGCCTTATAATTTCTTGTAGTCTATCTTTTAATGTTCCCCTCCCCCAGCGTATAGAAAGCAATATCTTATCCAGTGTTGGTTCTTGGTATTTGCCTTTCTAGAGAACTCACTTGTTGATTTACAGAAGGTGCTGGTTCTGTGTATGT